TAATTATTAGCACGGGCTCTTCATCACTAGTATATAATATAATAAGCGGGAATAGAGAGGACCTTGGGGTCGATACGTGTTCCTTTTTCCTTCTGGACAAAAAAAAGACTATACAGGCTGGAGGTCAACCTGTAAAAAAAAAAGGGGACCCATATTTTACTATTGAAAGATGCGTGTTTCTTTTTAAATTTCTTTTACTATACTAAATAATTGTATAAAATATTATAAATCACGATAATTAATTACTTAAATATTTAAAAGATATAAAAAAAAACTTCATTATAATTTTTTTTCGTAATAACAAATTTTTTTATTAAATGTCACTTGCATTTTGCAGTGAACAACAAATAATGCAAAAAAGAGGGGAAAATTGTTGAAAAAAATATAAAGAGGGTTTAATTGTCCTTTCAATGCTTTTTTTACTGTTGGCCCCCTTGATTTTTACATCTGACGCGCCTAATTTGAGTGTATTTCACGCATTTTGCCAGGTAGGATCCGAGTGTTTTTTTGTTTAAGTTTTGGATAGTTAAAGTGCCTATTTGTGCACTTACAAAGTTAAAGGTCAAAGTTATAATTTGAAGCCAAGTTAAGGGTCCAATTTATGTATTCTGCCCAAGGGAAACCTGCAACTGCTATCCTTTGGGTGCGCACAGGGTAAAACCCCGCTCCTATGCAATTTTAGTATATCAATTATTGGATGATTCTTAATCACTGATCGTGCTTATTTCATCCCATGAACCCTATTTAATTATGAATTCTATGAAAGTCTTGATATATCAATTATTATGTATTATCTTCATGGAAAAAAAAACAAGGCTTGTTTAAAGAAAGATAATCAATTTTAGAGAAAGGATTTTCAGTCCGTCTTTAAAGTAAATTTAGTGTTTTGATAAAAGAATATGCAGAACAGCAAGTCAAGACAATATTTTCAGCTTTTCCCCTAGGTGGGACCCTTAGCTTTTTCCTAAAATGGAACTGTACTCCTCAAAAAATGGAACTATATTTGCATGTTTTGAGAGTAGTATTGAACACCGAGTTGGGTACGAGTTAGATAATCCAAACTCCATGACTTTGCAGCCAGCATAGGATAGGATTGTGTCGTTGATTCGGGAAACTCCTCATAAAGCCCCTGGTAAGGGCATAGTTATTGGATCCATTAGTTCATCTCTTCCTTTTATCTTGACAAAGTATTAGATGCCCCTGGCAATGTGGGCAAGATGTGGTATCATCACGAGGCTCATAGTGATGGTTGTCGGTTAAAGAAACTCCCCAAGAAAAGTAAAGTATTCTATTTTAGCATTTGATATCATTCTATATGATTAAGTTGTAAAGTTCTATTGATTTCAATACACTTGCATGCTTTACTTTACAGTTATCTATTTTATAGTTCTTCTCTGAGTTACTCTTTCAGTTAAGTATATTCCGTCTAACAAGTGTTTCATTTAGCTATTTTGTATATTGTACATTATATATGTACTGACATCATTCGGCACTGGATCTTTTAATGATGTAGATACATGTATTCAGGATCGACAGTAGACGCTTCATTGAGATCCTCTCCATCAGCTTTTGGTGAGACATCCTTACTTTCGGAGGACTCCAATTTATTTATGTCATTTAGTTTTAGTAGAACATTCTAGTTCATTATTCAAGCAGTCTTGGGTCTTGTTCCGCACCTACCTTAGTCTAACAAGTGTTTCATTCAGCTATTTTATATATTGTACATTATATGTACTGACGTCATTTGGCACTGGATCTTTTAATGATGTAGATACATGTATTCAGGATCGCCAGTAGACGCTTCATTGAGATCCTCTCCATCAGCTTTTGGTGAGACATCCTTGCTTTCGGAGGACTCCAATTTATTTATGTCATTTAGTTTTAGTAGAACATTCTAGTTCATTATTCAAGCAGTCTTGGGTTTTGTTCCGCACCTACCTTAGTTCAGTAGAGGCTTTATAGACATGTTAGTGAGTCAGTTAAGTCTTTGATCATCAGATGTTTTAAATATTATTATTATGATTCATATTTACATTTCAAACTTTTCATAAAGTATTTTTAGATGTTTTGAATGCTCATCTCTTTTAAAGCTTATATGTAAGTGTTTAGTCTTCCGCTCAGTAGTAAGTCAGACCAAAGATTCGCTAGGGACCAGTAAAGGTTCTAGGTATCGATCACGCCTAGGGTATGGCTTGAGCGTGACAAACTTAGTATTTGAGTACCGAGTTCAAGTGTTCTAGGATGTGCACGCCTCATCTATAATAGGGAGACTACAAGACATTAGGTACCCTTCTTTCATATTCTAGTTCATGCGATAAAGTTTAACTCTATGAAGTTTCTTCTAACTCGTATGTTCACATATTTTAGATCATGCCTCCAAAGTATACCACCAGTGGAATGCTGCAAGTACTGACCTATCAAATTAAGAAAATATTTTAACAAGATTTTATGAGTTCTTTTGAGATATATATTAACTCAATTCTTAATGATCTCTGAAATGGATTGAACTAATAAATTAGCTATTTTTTACTCATCTAAACTTAAATAGATTGGATGGATTGAGCTTTATTTTGGCACCCCCTAATTTCATTTCATTTAGTGTTGATGGCGATCAATGACGATGGCTTTGGTTGATTATATAGTATGAAAGTTTGAATATTTTTGCTTTGCAGAATCGTGTTGTCATCAAGATCACTTTCTTCTCCTTTCATACCAAAATCTCGTTATGGATCAAGTTATGGCTGCTATTATCAAGAAATCGGTCATTTGAGGCTTCAATTCCCCCAACCCATTTGGACTGTAGAAACAGTTTCTCAAGTCTTAAGATCAATCCCCAGATTCCTCTTCCAATCCCCCAAGATCCATTGGCCGACAAAATGGGTTTCGCCACCGTACCCCATTAAAGCAGAGAAACCTAAACCAAGAGTTCTATAACACTCGGAAGGGAGTGCTCATTCTTGGCCCAGCTGCTCATAGAGATGCTCAAAAGGTACAATTAGGATTGGAGAAAGCATTGGAATTTTTCCATTGGGTTGAGACCCGCTGTGGGTTTACTCACAATGAGCTCACTTGCAGAGAAATGTCTCTTGTTCTTGCCAAAGGGTCTTGTAATTCGAAGCTTCTTTGGGAATTTCTCAAAAGAATGTCGAGAAGAGGGCTTTTGACGACACCGACCGTTACGTGTTTGATAAAATGCCTAGGAGAAGAAGGGTTGGTAAATGAAGCATTGACTACTTTCTACAGAATGAAGCAATTTCACTGTAAGCCTGATGTTTATGCTTACAACACACTCATATTTGCTCTTTGTAGAGTTGGGAATTTCAAAAAAGCTAAGTTCTTGATGGAGCAAATGGAGTTGCCTGGTTTTAGGTGTCCACCTGATGTCTTTACTTACACAATCTTGATTAGCTCTTATTGTAGATATGGTATGGAAACTGGCTGTAGAAAAGCTATTAGACGGAGAATATGGGAGGCGAATCACTTGTTTCGTATCATGCTATTCAAAGGATTTGTTCCTGATGTAGTAACTTATAATAGTTTGATCAATGGATGCTGCAAAACTAATAGGATAGAGAGAGCATTGGAGTTGTTGGATGATATGGTGAAAAGAGGGGTTGTGCCTAATCGAATTACGTATAATTCTTTCATTAGGTATTATAGTGTTACAAATGAGATTGATAAGGCTATTGAAATGCTGAGAAGAATGCAAGGAATGAATCATGGAGTAGTACTACCATGTAACAGTTCGTATACACCGATAATTCATGCTATGTGTGAAACTGGTAGGGTGGTGGAGGCAAGAGATCTTCTTGTCGAATTGGCTGAACAAGGTTCGATTCCAAGAGAATATACTTTTAAACTAGTTCGTGATGCTTTAGAATCTTCTGGGAAGATTGATTTGCTTGATGAAGAATTGTGTACAAGATTAGAAGATGGTATTAAAGGTAGGATTAGACAAGTGATGAAAGTAAAACCTTTGTTGCAGCATCAAAGTGTTTCATAGCATTGAATTTTATACTTTTTATCTATGTTTGCTCAGACTCTTTGAAAATGTTGATGGATGCGTGTCGAATTCTCCAAAAATAGTGTATTTTTGGAGAATTTGACACGAATGCAGCATCGAAAGTGAAGAGTCTGCACAACTTAGCTTTTTGTGGATTTTGATCTTATAAAAGCACAAGGGATTTAACTTATATACTGTAATTCTCTATATATAGAAGCGGCTTGGAAGCAGCTGGCCGTTGTCCTGCCAACTTGCTGTCCAAGGGCTTTTTGGTCATTCCAGGTATTAGGGTAGTACGTGTTAGGTACTGCTGCTACACGTGTAACGTCATAACGTAGCTTCAAGATGAGAAAAGAAAGTCCGCAGTTTCAACTTCTTCTATCTAATTGTTCTCTGTTTCTGCCATATCTTTATCACCGCCTTCGTTTCTTCTTCGATTTGAGCTTCTTTGTTATCTCAGGTGAGCTTTGAATTCATTGTCAGTGTTTTGTACTAATTTAATGATGTTATTGTGATGAAGCTTGTAGAAATTAGGTTTTAAGATATACAGTATATGTCTGCAGATAAAAAATCAATGGTACCAACTTCTTCTTAAATTGCTGTGTTATTTTTTAATTATTTATCTTTTTTCCTCATAATGTGGTGCATGTATGCAAGATTTTTTTTTTTTTCTCTGCTGCTGTTAATTTGAAGAGAGGGGGGGGAGGGGGGCTTAAATCACGGGTAAAGAGTTATATCCCTATGTGACCTATAATTCATGGGTTCGAGCACTAAAATTAGTCATTAGCTTACATTATGATATATATTAGTATTAGTCATAGCTTACATTAAGATATATATTAGTCATGAGTTTGAGTAGTAAAATTAGTCATAGCTTACATTAGGATGACCTATAAGTCATGAGTTTGAGTAGTAAAATTAGTCATGCTTACATTAGGATGACCAGTAAGTCATTGGTTAGAGCACTAAATTAGTCATAACTTGCATTAAGATGACCTATAAATCATCGGTTTGAGTAGTAAAATTAGTCATAGCTTACGTTAGAATGGCCTATAAGTCATGGGTTCGAGCAGTAAAATTAGTCATATTTTACATTAGGATAGGCTACCTACATCGTCCAAAGGCGGAGCTAGAATTTAGAGTCTTTTTGAAAAAGAAAATGATATTACTCAACAGAGAGAGCTTTTAAAATAAGGACCAGGAGGCATGATTTACATACATAATTATCACATGATACAAAAAGAGATGTTTTTATCACACCAACGAAGAAAAAAACTTCAATCAGTAACTAAGTCTTACACGTGTTAAATTCTTAAGTCAGCTGCGTCATCTGTCTCTGAACATGGTTGTCGCTTCATTATGTATGTAATTGTGTGTTTTGGCTTTGGTTTTACCTCCGTTTCGTCTTCAGATTGATCGAGGTTTTCATCTTCAGCTGATTCTTTAATTTCTTGCCATTGTTTCCTTCAATCTCTTGGACAAATTAGGTTTTATGACAACGCTTGCAGTTGTTACTGCCATGGGCTTACAGATTACGGAAATTAGGTCTTAGGAGCTAATCGTTTTTCAAATCTTTGTTTGTTGTGTGAATTCTTTGTGCTGCAAAATCTTTTCTAATTTGCCTTTAACTCGATCTCTTTGAGCTGCAAAATCTTTTCTCATTTGCCTTTAACTCGATCGTGTTGGAGTTGGACAACTTTTTCTCCTCCGAGTTTGCTCCTGTTTGCAAGAGCTTTAATTTATTGTGAGACTTCCCTATGTTATTTCTGTGCAATTACTGAAGCAACTATGAGACCTTGACAGAACATAGGAGCTGCAATTTTTGTATACATTATACGGTGACATATGCTAACTGACGTGTTCAGTAATAGTTTAGCAACTTCATCGATTGTTCATTCATGTGGTATATATTATTGGTTTAAAGGATGCTCAATCTCCTCATTTCCTGTTGTCTTTGTTTTGGTTTTCCAACTTCGTTATCATTGTACGAGATGTCATCAGATAAAAAAATGATGGCACCAACTTATTCCTCCCAAAAAAGAAAGCATCATTAGTCAGCAGAAAGAGCTTCTAAAACTAAGCTCAGAAGACTTGATCTGTATGCACAGTTGTCAATTGACAAAAAAGAAATGCTTTTATCGCGGTGACGAGTGAAAAATGTTGATTCAGCAAGCTGCTGTCTCTTGGTTGAGTGAACGAAAGAAGCATCATGTTTTGGAGTTGGTGTTGATTTACCTAGACAGCAAGCTCTAGCGATAAGAGAATCATCTTCCGCTGCCAAAAAAGGTCAGATCCCAAAAATACAATATACTATTTAGAATGTATGTTGCTTATAATTTTACTTGTATATACATTGTTAATGTTAAGCAAGATTTCTGCCCCACAGTAGCTGATACATCTTTCAATTATTTATTTAGTAGCCTTTATATGCCTTTACTTTAGGATGGTTGATAATTGATTTCTTTATATAATTGAAATTTACAGGCGTTAAGTTAGGTATCACTGCAGCCCTTTAATTTTGACATTTGTATAAGATGGTTCAGGTTTGGTTGTTCAGATAAACTTGAACAAAGTTGATTTGAAAATGACAACATCCAGTTGATTTGAATTTGAATAAAGTCTCATGTAAACTTCATATGGGACACTGAAAAATACCCCATAAAGAGTAATGGAGATGTGCAGAGGTGTATTCCTTGCACTTTCATCGATCTTTGTTGGGATTTCTGTTTTCTTTCTCCGCTTCTTCATCTTCCTCCCATTCTCTCTGTGCTTGACCTGCTTCTTCCACTTCGTTCACTTATTTCAGGTAATATCTCCTTCAGATTTCTTGTGATTTGCCCTCAATCTATAATTTCCTCTGGCTAGCCTTTCTACTTTCCTGCTTGTGTTGAATTCTGGTCATTTATAAGCGTATTCTTGCTACTTCGGATGCAAATTAATTGGTGTAGCTTCCATAGTTTTATCCTGTTCTCCTACCTTCCTATTTAATAATAGAATTAACATGGATTATGATTGACTCGCTATTGATCTCTCTGTATATGATACGTACTAATGCCTTTCTAAATTCTCTAAGAACATGAAATTGGAATGTTCTTCACCAATAAGGATTAATAACACCCCCAATCTAGGTCACATTTGATCTTCTCCTGTCTCTTTGATCTGATTCAAACAAATTCTCCAAGCTAGAAAGATGCACATTACTGCTTATTCTTTTCCTTGTCATACTGCCAGCCTTCTTTTCAAATTCATTGGGGTCAACTATATGAATCCTTAATAGCTATTGTGTTCTATTCAAGCCTGTCTTGGTGGAAGGTCTGTTCAGAGAGTATATTTGATTGTGTGCTTCTTATGAACCAGATAAATTGCATCTCACATTGTTGGGTATCCCTGGACCCAAAGAAAAAGCTGAAATTTGCTCTCGAGTCTTTCTGGGATGGAAAGAGCAGTGCTGAGGATTCAGTCATCCACCTGAAAACACGTCTGATGCAGGCATTAAGTACATCCCAGCAACACATTCTCTCGACACAACCGCAATGCTTGGTGCCATCCCATAATCAGGCGAATTTTTGGGATGCTTAGTGCCATCCCAAAAATACTGTCCACCCGGGCCTATTCTTACTAGTACTGTATGGAATTGCTGGCTATAAGTGTATTTTAATATGTTTTACACCAACTTTTACCTTATATGTCAGGTTGCTAATTTCACTTATGCATTCATTGTAATTATCATTTAGTTGACATAATAATGTAAAAACTCATTCATTGATAGAAGTTAATCAAAAGATCATGGATTCTAGACGTTACTTAATCAAGGTCTTGTCCAATTTGCCTTGTGCACTTGATTTGATTTTCTTCCATTTCAGATTACCAAGTTTGGTTGGTAAGACAGTCCTGACCCTTCGACAAGTTCCCTGAATTTTTGTTCCATAGTAAGAGTGCAATACGTGATATGTAGGTTACTTGCACATCTCCATTTCAAATGTGGCCAAAAAAAAAAATCTGATCAATGATCAAATATTGAGATGCACAGTCCTAAAAACTATTGACTTTTTATAAAATTATTAGTGAGGTATGTTGACTCTTGCGATAATATTGATAGTAGAATCTCTTTGACATGCCAGTCACCCGTTAAAATCATTAAGTTGGGCCACCTGTAATTGCGGAGGAGTAAGACAAACGACAACGTACTCTTTTTGAAATTTTATAAACTATTTCAAATTATTTTTTCAAAAAAGATTGAGGATAGGGGATTAAATGTGGGGAATCTAACCGTGAGAGTTCAGATAATTAACCAACTGAGTTACTGAGATTCCCTATTCCAAATTATTACTCCTTTTCTCGAAGCCTTTTTTTTTATGGACAATTCACATACTTTAAAAGTAGAATGGTCAATTATTCATACGGTTCTTTTGACCTATTCTCTCTTGTGGCAACGGGAAGGATAAGAGCAATCGGTTGAATGATTGTTGTTCCACTTACGGTTACAGTGCCTCTATCGAAGCAGAACAAGTCTAATACTCCAGCCTCGATTTTCAAATTCTTATGAATAATAATATTCCATATCTTTAAACGCTAAAAATTACACTCAATAACCTTGAAAATGAATAATCTTAAATTTTAACTCTCCACCTATCTTGAGGGCAAACCTTCAAAACTCATATCAAAACTTGAAGATTCAATGCCAAATTCATAGTTATATACGTAAAACTTTTTGATTCTCAAATCAAAATTATGTCATATAAATTGAAACAGAGCGAGAAATAACTATTTTAGGAAAGGTAGACACAAAAGAAATAGTAAAAACTGTGTTGGTTTTAAAACAGAGCAAAGCCAACCCAATCAGCATCGCTCACTGGTTGGCGACGACTCACGTGACGAAAATGAAGAGGAAAGTGAATCATGAAAAGGAGAAATTGACTTCCGGCTAGACACTGACCATCGACAAATTGTCTCTAGATCCAACAAGTAATCCGGTCCCGGTTCGGGTCCATTCTTATGACTCTTCTTCATATTCTTCTTTGTTGCTCGCTTCAGCAATGGAGACGGAAAGCACCAATCTGAGGCAACTCCCATGGCAGGTCGGGTCAAACTTATACTTGTATTTTTCCTCCTAATACAATTCTTGCTATATATATAATGAAGATGAAATGCATATATAAGCCGTTATCTACGTAGACAAATTTATGAGGCAAAGAAGAAAGACTAGAAAGCAAACCATATCAAAAGACTTCCCAATAAACCAAATAAGTCGTTGATTAATGTGACTTAGCAAGGTTTGATAAGAGGAATACAAATTCAAAATGCCATGTCCTGTGGCATGTTGCTAAGCGCTTGCATTGTACTGCTTGCAACATTCAAAAGTTGCAAATACTCATCCGCTCCGTCTACAAGACACTGCAGAAAAAGGAAAACATAAGCACATCATTGTCAGCTAACTGTGCCGGAAACAGTCAATTCTATGGTGCTGATACATTACTGCACTAAACTGAACTCTAGTTCTAGGGGAGAATGTCAGATGACACTGTCATTAATACAGAATTCATAGCATACAGTTACTCATTAGTCAGTACTCCAGTTCCCCGGAAAAGAGAAAAATAACCAAAAATAGTACTCACGTCTCATTTTGTAAGACACTTTTAAATGTTAAAGAGTCAAAACAAGTTGTACTTTTGACTACAATTTTTACAAACACTTTTCATGTATGAAAAAAGTTCTACTTTGACTGCAAATTAAGAAATCAATGTACGAATTGATGCTGAAAATTAAATGTTGGACCCTCGTAGTTCTAACCCTACCATTCTTTCAGAGATGGAGGAAATAAAAAATAAAACACAACGGAGTATAAACAGTAATAATCACTCTTAACAACAATACTATTAGAGTAAGCTGAAGAAGAGGAATAACCTTGTCTGCTTCAGCAAATTTCTTGCATATTCTTGCTTTCTGTTCATCAGAAATGTTGTCTGCATCAACTACTATATCATACAACTGAAAGAAGCAGGCAGCATATTAGTAAAACAGGTTAGCATGGTTGAATGAAAAGTGAGATGATACACAGATATTGGGACCTGAGACAGCAACTGAGAAACAGGATATCCTTCTGCAATGACATTGTTCACGTCTTTGTTTGCCAAGTCAAAAGTGCCACTTCTGCAAGCTGAGAATATAGCCTGAACAACTTCATTTGGGATGACCTGATCATAGTAATTGCACGTCAGTTACTAAAATAAGTGTAGAACCCTAGTATTTAAGTGCAAACAGGGCAGATGGGTGGGCTTACACTCCCCCAAGTGTTGAATAACTGTACAAACATGGAATTGGGCCAGCTAACTCAGACAATTTCTCGGTTATAAACCAAAAGTAGAGTATCGACCATGACTTTAGATGTGAGCTTATATGGTTAAAACAATTGCAGCAATAGTTGAAATCTATTAGAAATGAATAAATGAAACTAATTTCGTGAAATCAAGTTACACTACATATATCTTAAGATTTTTTATTTTTCATCAAAGAAAGAAGCACACAAAAGCAGGTTGTCACTCTCACAGACATGGAAGTACATCAATAATCTAAAGGATGATTCTTTCAAAAAGCATCCTTTAGGATTGGGAACTGCAAAAGCTCACTGATCTGTATAAATTGAATTATATGTAATGATCAATAAATTAAGTTGAATTCTATATCTACGCATGTCAAAACCATAGCAAAATCGTAGTACCAATCTAATCATCTTTGGAAGGTTTTCCAGTGAATCCTCAAACATCAGACAACCTGAAATGGGGAGATTCAAGCAAAGAAGTGTTTTCAGTGAAGGCAGGTATAGTAGAACGAATTCTGTCAACGTTTTGAGAGGTCCTTGGCCTTGGAAGCTGATGGAAGACAAAACTACGCACCAAAGTCAAGTGTTTTACTTGGACAACCCTCAAAGATGTCATACTAACTCAGGATAATCTAAAAAGAAAAGGATCTCGCTGGTGAACAGATGTTATATGTGCAAAAAGACTCAAGAGTCAGTTAACTTTATTTTACACTCCTGTTGCAGCAGAACTATGGCACATGTTAACAGTAATATTTGGAATCAGTTGGACAACCCCAAACAGCTTAAAAGAAGCAGTTGAAAGTTGAGCTTAGGGAAAGTAGATAGAGTCATCAAGAAGATCTGGCAAATGATCCCAACATGTATTTTTTGGTGTTTATGGACAGAGAGGAACAACAGATGCTTTGATGGGACTTCAACTCCTAACTGTGCTCTAAAATCTAAGTGTTTAGTAAGCTTTTTAGTTGGAGCAAATTATCCCCTTTTAGATTTTATTAGTTCCCTCTCAGTGGCTAAGCAACCTTGAGTTTTTGCTCATGGTTTTAAACTCCCAGCTTCTTTTAGTTTTTGCAGTGTAAGGGGCTTAAACCTTTCTTTGTAAAGCTTTTTACATCTTTCTTAATGCTTTTCAATACAACTTACTTCATCAATTAACAAAAAGATTTGAGTATGAACTTATTGCTACAAGTTGTCAACTCAAATGACAACAGATGTTTGCAAAATCACCATGGAACTCCACGAGTGATTATATTTGAAATAAGTAACGAGCATACACTATGCATGCTCTAATTTGAAGAACATTGTTAAGAAATTGTCCAGGTTCAATATTAGAATCTGCATATTTTCAGTTAAGAATCCATATATTTTTTTTGATAACCGAGAAATCCGTCTGTGACCCACCCTTTGGACCAATCACAGCCTTCTAAACTCGGTGGATAATGGGCCCGCCCCTCTACCCTTCTCCACTTAAATACCGGGCTTCGCTTTGCATGGTGTGGGGCTTGAACCTGTGACCTAAGCCACAAATCCACCACCTTTTGCCACCTAGGCCTTGGGGGCAGAATCCATATATTGACACCACTCAAAAGGATTTTATGCTTGCTTTCTCGTTTTAAGATATTTAAAGACATTATCTTATCCTCGGAGCTTAAAAGGACTAATCAAGCAAGACATTCCAAAACAACCTCTCTTCTTTCCTTAGTTTTAACTACTACTACTAAAATTGGCAAATAAACTTTCTCAGATTGAGCACATCAGTATAGCCCAATTATCAAAAGCCCAAAGAAAATGCTGAAATTTATAATAGCCTTCGTTGGAAATAAAAAGAATAAATTAGAACCACACATAAAGACGACAGTATTAATGAGGAGAATTTCTTAATAAACCTATACTGCTACATTCAGTATGATATACATCAAGGTAAAGCAAAGGCACTCTGATAGATGAACGCATTGATCTTGTGAAAACTTACAGATGGTCCTGTAGTTGATCTAAAAGCAGTATCAAACTAACACTACAGAACCAGATATAAACTTACCCCAGACACACTAATTAGGTCCTTAGCAGATATGGAAGATACAAATAACCGAGCAGCACTCTGCCGCAATTCAAAATATTACCAATCAATTTACAAGGTTGATAATCTAGTCAGGAAGTAAAAGATGGCAAGAACGCAAAGGCTTGAAAATGGATAATATTTATTCCTTCCACAAAACATTCAGTATTATATACATC